AAATCTCAGCTGCAAAGCAGTCCTGATTGAAAGAAACACACACCCCACCACCACCACCACCATCCAAGTTTCCCAACTCCAAGGAACAGTAGAGAAACTACTGTCCCTTGGAGTTGCAAACGGTTTCTGGGCTTTTGGCGCCCCCTCTGGATATAGCTAAAAATTGCAGTCCACTTTTTAAGACCACTGATTGTTTATAAAATATTCCACAAGATACATGACTGTGAAATGCTTGCACTAAACAAACCAAAAAGGTAGATAGCACCGTAGCTTATCACTTAAAATCCTACATTTCACGTATATCTCTTATGACATAATTATACTCAAATGTATTTTTATGTGTCCGTATGTATCTTGACAAAACATTTTAGTCAATTATTCAAAATATCTTAAGGACTTAGTGGCGCTCACTGCCTTCGTGCCAGAAAACATAGGAATTACAATAAAATACAACTAAAATACAGACGCTGTGTTTAAAAGTTCTGCTCAGACATCTGTAAGTCTCCTGGATCCGGTGTCGCAAAATCAGTTACTTTCACAAATACAGGACAAAAAAATCTGTATATAGTAACCGGGACTTTTTTTCCCAAGAAAGGACGGTGCGTTCTTACACTTTTCGCGAGTAATCAATCACACAGCCATAAGTATCAGACCATTGTATTGAGGCCTCTCAAACTCGTAAACGTACTATATAATACAAGAGGAATCTGATGTAAGTCACATCCGTTTAAAAAATAAATGCCGTTTAACAGGGTCTTAACTTACTACCTTTTGAAGAGTTCCGTTTTCTATCATAAACGTCGGCTTCTTCGAAGGAAAACGAGAGGCAAAGGTTTGTTTGGTTTGGTTTGGTTTTCATCTTCAAGAGAAAAAACACGTTGTTTTAGATCTTGCAATAGTGTCTGCAATTTGCAAGCCAGAATTAAGCAAGTCTTTTATACGATGCGGGCCGATTCAATCATTTAATTCGAGGCAAACATTTCCACGAGCAAGGAAGAGGGAGTTTAAAATCAAGAGTTTTCCCGAGTCGTGCGTGTATTTGTGATTCTGAAGACACATATCCGCAGACTGCTAAGATTTTTCTTCTCTCCCCAAACAGATAACTCCTTGCATAACCAACCTGTATCCGGAGGAGTTGGTGTAAACGCAAAGGTAGGGCTGAAATCATACTTTGAAAGACATCAGAGGTACCCCGAAGCCCTTCCCCCAGGACTGCCAACTGTCTGCGGGTCGGAAGGGACAGGAGAAAAGTCATTAGGACAAGTAATTCACCCCTCCAGGTGCTTGGTAAAGGAACAGGAAAGCAGGCGAGCCGTCCAATTCCCCTAAAACGGGTGTTTTGTCTGCGTCCTTGCCCATTTGTCCGGCCTTTTACCAACTAAATGACCCGCCTGGGCCAGGCCGCTCAGGCCGACCCATTCGCCAAGTTCGGTCTGGAAAAGTTAGAGGAGTTTGCAAACTCTTTTCCAGTGGCAATTCTGCTGATGTTTTGAACTCGACCGAGAGGCGAAGATTAGAACGTCAAAGAAATTGCGCTGTCACCAGGGAGCGCCTGGGGAGTGGGGGTCGGGGGGGGGGGGGTCTGGACAGGAGAGGGCCTGGTCAGAGTTCAAGGTCGGGGTGGCGCGGGACATTCCCCGCGAGCGCCCGGCTCCGGCATTGAGCCTGCAGCTGCCGCCAGCCTGCGCCGGGACTTTGCTTTCCATTGAATCCCTTTGCAAGAGCGTAGCTACAGCCCAAGCAGCCGCGCCAGTCCCGGCGAAGCCGAGCATGTTAATCTATTTATATGGATTATTACGGAGGAACAGCGGGCGTTGAATCACCCAAACATTTGCTCCCAAACACCATTTCTAAGCACTTTCGGAGTCGGCTCCAGGAGTGTAAACGGGGCTCCGCATTCGGGAGCGCCTGCTTTTCCAATCCTGCAAACTCCAGCTCTAAGTCCCCCGTGCCGGGGTGGAGGTGGCGGTGGGGGCTGACCCTAGTCTAGACACACACACACACACACACACACACACAGACTCGCCAAGACTCGCGCGGAGACAGCACCCAAATTCTGACAGACCCAAAGTAAAGCAAACTTACACACTAGGCCCTCCCGGCCCCCCCCCCCCCCCCCCCCCCCCCCCCCCCCCCCCCCCCCCCCCCCCCCCCCCCCCCCCCCCCCCCCCCCCCCCCCCCACTACACCAATCCCTCCCCCCCCCCCAAAAATCAGATCCAATCAGCAGCCTGTCAACCCGCGCTACGCTGCGATTGGCTGAAAGCAGCCTGCCAACCCGCGACGCGCTGCGATTGGCTGAAAGTTTCTAAGGTGAGGGGGAGTATTTATTAAAGAGACCCCGGGCTGGGAGCCGGAGAACTGAGAGCGGAGGTTGAGACTGCCGGGAAACTTTGGCGGCGCTGCGAATTGCCAGCTTCACCCCGGGAATTTTGCTTAGCTGGAGGAGGAGAGAAGGGGTGCAAAAGCCCCCCCACTTGCGCTTTTTTCCCCTCCTCTTCCTCTCTAAGTCGCCTTCTCCCACTTGGAGCGGGCCCTGCGAGCTGGCCACCCCGCGCCCTCCTAAGTATTCGCCGCCGCAGCCGGGGGACGCGCCAGCCTCCCGGAGAGCCACTTGCTCTGCGTCCCGGCAGCTGAAGGGAGAGGAGCTCGCGCTTCGCGTCCCCGAGCCGCCGCGGCTGCTCGCCTTTCCCGGCCAATCGCCTCCTGCCCCGGGCCCGCGCATGAATCTCCTGGACCCCTTTATGAAGATGACCGACGAGCAGGAGAAGGGCCTGTCTGGCGCACCCAGCCCCACCATGTCCGAGGACTCGGCGGGCTCGCCCTGCCCCTCGGGCTCCGGCTCGGACACGGAGAATACGCGGCCCCAGGAGAACACGTTCCCCAAGGGCGAGCCCGATCTGAAAAAGGAGAGCGAGGAAGACAAGTTCCCCGTGTGCATCCGCGAGGCAGTCAGCCAGGTGCTCAAGGGGTACGACTGGACACTGGTGCCCATGCCGGTGCGCGTCAACGGCTCCAGCAAGAACAAGCCGCACGTCAAGCGGCCGATGAACGCCTTCATGGTGTGGGCACAGGCGGCGCGCAGGAAGCTGGCCGACCAGTACCCGCACCTGCACAACGCCGAGCTCAGCAAGACCCTGGGCAAACTCTGGAGGTAGGGAGCCGGCGGACTCGCGGCCCGAGTGGGCGCGCTGCGATGGCTGGGAGCGCGGGTCCAACCGAGCGGGGAGCAGGCACGGGGCGGGGGTGAGGTGACGACTATAACTTGGCTCGAAGTGTGACAAAGTTCTTAGATGTCTCTCCGGGGAGGAGTGGAGGGGGGTTTCGGATGGAGAAGAGGGGTGGGATAGCCCGAGGATGGGAGGGGACTTGTCAGAGGCGCGGTGGGAAGGGGCTGGCGAGACCCGATCGCCCGTCGCACGCCGGGAAGTTCAGTCCCCAGGTGGGTGTTTGGGTTGGTGGGAAGTGAAGTTTCCCTCTCTCCTCTGTCGCGCCATCGTGGTGCCCAGCACCCGTGTAGAGGGGCTGGACGCGAGGCGGGACGGCGGAGAGCTGGATTCCAGGAAGCGAGGGGAGCACTTGGGGAGCTTCTGTGGATTTTCCAAGATATTTTAAAGGGAGTTGGAGACTTTGGGAGGGAAGCGAACTCTAGTAGCAAAGGCGCTTGGAGCGGCGGCAGCCCAGACCTGTTTTGCTGGAGTTCCAGAATGGCAGAGAAGGGGGCGGGGCAGAGTGACCATTCGGATCGGACTCAAAGAGCCAGACTGCTTATCTTTTTCTTTCTTTTTATTACTATTAATAGTGTTACTTAAAGCGCGGTTGTGCGCCGCGGCCCAGACTCGAAAAAGGGAAGAATTCGAGACGGGGGCGGGGCGTGGGGGGGCGCAATGTGTTAAGGAATCAGGAGCTCGAGTTACCTCCCCCTCCCCACCGTCCTGACAGCTCGGCCGCGATCCTCTGACCCCCCTCCCTTTCTCTTTGCCTCCCTCCCCCCAGGCTGCTGAACGAGAGCGAGAAGAGGCCCTTCGTGGAGGAGGCGGAGCGGCTGCGGGTGCAGCACAAGAAGGACCACCCTGACTACAAGTACCAGCCGCGGCGCAGGAAGTCGGTGAAGAACGGGCAGGCGGAGGCCGAGGAGGTCACCGAGCAGACACATATCTCTCCCAACGCTATCTTCAAGGCTCTGCAGGCCGACTCCCCACACTCCTCTTCTGGCATGAGCGAGGTGCACTCGCCTGGAGAGCACTCTGGTGAGTCTCCAGGGGGACCACCCCACTAACGTGACTCCACACACCCTGCCCGGGCCCCAGGAGGGCCCTAGCCACACACACACACACACACACACACACACACACACACACACCAATCCCTACTCAGTCTCTGCAGCGAAGCAGATGAATGTTTGATTTTGAGGTTTATGGCTTTCCAAGACATGCGGCATCATTTCTTTGCGGCATCATTTCTTTGCGCCCGCTCCCCTAAAACACACAGTAGGCTCTGGGACAAGTAGCAGTTTGGCCTTCCGGACCCTCGAGGCCTCAGACCCTCCCCTGATAAAAGGAGACTGTTGAGTTAATCATTCCATGGCTTATCTCCCATCACAGTATACCTCCCGCACAGGTGTGGAACCTTATTACCCCGCAGCCTAGAGGGAGGGTCCCCAGAGGACTCCAGAATCCACCTTTACACAGCCTTAGTTGATTTTCTTTCTCTTCTGTTACCTGCAGGGCAATCCCAGGGTCCACCGACCCCACCCACCACCCCCAAAACCGATGTGCAGCCTGGTAAGGCTGACCTGAAGAGAGAGGGGCGCGCCCTGCCCGAGGGGGGCAGACAGCCTCCCATCGACTTCCGTGATGTGGATATTGGCGAGCTCAGCAGCGACGTCATCTCCAATATTGAGACCTTCGACGTCAATGAATTTGACCAGTACTTGCCACCCAACGGTCACCCTGGGGTGCCGGCCACCCACGGCCAGGTCTCCTACACTGGGAGCTATGGCATCAGCAGCACCACAGCCACCCCAGGGGGTGCGGGTCACGTGTGGATGTCCAAGCAGCAGGCTCCGCCCCCACCCCCGCAGCAGCCCCCACAGGCCCCCCAGGGCCCACAGGCGCCCCCTCAGCAGCCCGCTGCACCCCCTCAGCAGCCCGCTGCACCCCCACAGCAGCCGCAGCAACAGCCAGCGCACACGCTGACCACGCTGAGCAGCGAGCCTGGCCAGTCACAGCGAACGCACATCAAGACAGAGCAGCTCAGTCCCAGCCACTACAGTGAGCAACAGCAACACTCTCCGCAGCAGATCGCCTACAGCCCCTTCAGCCTTCCGCATTACAGCTCCTCATACCCGCCCATCACCCGCTCACAGTACGACTACACAGACCACCAGAACTCCGCTTCCTACTACAGCCACGCAGCCGGCCAGGGGTCCAGCCTCTACTCCACCTTCACCTACATGAACCCGGCCCAGCGGCCCATGTACACCCCTATCGCCGACACCTCCGGGGTGCCCTCCATCCCGCAGACCCACAGCCCCCAACACTGGGAACAGCCCGTGTACACACAGCTCACCAGGCCCTGAGGAGACAAAGGGTATGGTTCCCAATGATAGAGAAATAACCGAAGCAAAAAAGAACCCACCAGAATCTCTTTGGGACATTTTGTTCTCCTGTTACTAAAAGACATTCAATGAAAGGCAACGTGTACCCAAATTCCAAGACGGAAGCATTCTCTTTCCAAACGCATGACCAGCTTCTTGAGAATCAGTGGACAGTCCACTCCCGCGGCTAGAGGGCCAGCAGGAAAAAGAGACTGAACTGAAAACCTTTATCAAAGCAAGTTTAAGGGAGAGTAAGCTCAGTCTCCCTACCTGTTCGGACTTTGTAATTATTTTTTAGCAGTAATTAAAGAAAAGAGTCCTCTGTGAGGAATATTCTCTATTTTAAATATTTTTAGTATGTACTGTGTATGATTCATTACCATTTTGAGGGGATTTATACGTATTTTTAGATAAAAGATTAAATGCTCTTATTTTTTTCCAACAGCTAAATGACTCTTTAGTGAATCAGTATGCCCTAGCTTTTTCTTGCAACCCAGAGTATTTTTGTACAGATATGCTTTCTCTTTAAAAGAAAAGGAAAAAAAAAAAGCAGCAGGTATGTGTGTTGGTGTATTAACATTAAAAAAAAAAAAACAAAAAAAAACATCATCACCACAACACAAAATTGTGTCAGGTGATCAGTTTTGGGGTTTAGTGTTGCTTAATTCCACAGGTTTTCTGATTTGAGGAGAAGCTGCCTTAAATAATAATAGTAATCAAGGCCTTATTTTTGCAAACATGGACGTAAGCACAATAGTCTAGAGAAGCATTTGGTAAGCTTTATCTTACATATCTTATTTTTTTAAGCAAAAGAAACACCTTGAGCTTAAAGCCGCACTGCTGGAACGATCTTTTCGTACATCTGCTGTCTTTGCTTGCGTGCTCCAATTATGAGGAAAAAAAAAAAAGAAAGGCAAGCAGAAAGAGACGGAATCTTTTTCGAGACTGTTGCAGCAACCAATAAGTGCCCCCATTGCACTGCCCCCTGGCTGCCCCCCCCCCCCAGGCAGCATGTGGGACCCAGATGCTGGGGTTAGTTCTCTCACCTGAACCTCTGTGATAACCAGCAGTTAACCTTCAAGACATTCCATATGCGAAAATTATTTATTTTGTAAGGCGAGGTTTTCATGGTGGGGGGGGGAGAAACAAAAAAAAACTTGCTCTTTTATTTTTGTTTTGTTTTAATTTACCTTCTTTTAAAATAGGTTGTTGGAGCCTTCCTCAAAAGGGCATGGTCATCTGTTGTTAAATTATGTTCTTAAACTGTAACTTGTTTTTTGTTTTTTTTTATTTATCTCTTTAATCTTTTTTTTTATTATTATTAAAAACAAGTTTCTTTGGATTCCTTATCCTAGATTTGTACAAATGCCTTTCTGTCTGTCCTTTTTTATCTTTTGTATTTTTTTTTTTCCTTTGTTGGTTTGTTGTTGTTGTTGTTGTAAGCAAGCTGGAAGCTTGCTTCTCTGTTTATGCAAATGAGAGATTGCAAATGTAGTATATCACTGAATCATTTGCAGTGTTTTCTGCTACAGATCTCTGGGCTGCCCAAATTGAGTGTGTGTTTTGACACCAAACAGTGCAAGCATGTGACTCGGATATCCCATATTCCCCTGCATGTTCTCTTGGAGAGAGGGGGGCCAGGGGGAGAGCAGAGGACTGGCAGACCTTAATTACTGCTGTGGCCTGAAGAGTTTGAGGATTGCTTTTTTAAAAAGACAGCAAACTTTTTATTATTTAAAAAAAAAAGATATATTAACAGTTTTAGAAGTCAGTAGAATGAAATCTTAAAGCACTCTTAAAATATGGCATCTTTTCAATTTCTGTATAAAAGCAGATCTTTAAAAAATATATATTTCTGTAACTTCAGAAACCTGGCATTTAAATCATGTTTTGTCTTTAGGTAAGATTTGGTTGTGTTTGTGTTTTGTTTGTTTCAACACGTCCCCACCCCCAACCCTAAACCTTTTTTATTCGCTCTATGAAACTTACTTTCCCTTTTTCGTTTTGTTTTTTTCTTTCGTTTGTTTTTGTATATTATTGTTTACAATAAATATACATTGCATTAAAAAGAAAATGGTCTTGTGAATTTATCCACTCAGTTCTGTTCTAAGAATGATACGAAGGTTCGGAGACAGCACAAGAGATTGTTAAGTGCTGGTGGCTTTGTGATTTCATTTTTGTTTTTTCATGTGCCATATGAACACAGAAAGTCTCCCCAAATACCTAAGCAGAAAATTTTTCAAAAAATGGCATCCCATGAGAGCAAATGGAGAGTCACATGGCAGTGTCTCCCAGTTTGGCAAAATGCTTGTGATTTTCATCTCATGGTTCTAAGCAAAATCTGCACCCCTGTGAAAGACAGAAGAAGATATTTGATCCCCAAATCAGTAGCTTGTCAATAGAGACAGGATGCCAAAGACAGTGCCTTACTTGGTTTCATTTAATATAGCCAGGATTCTGCTAGTGGGAACACATACCAAAGAACTGGGACGTTTATTTTAAAAGGCAAAGGAAGACAGTAAAACCGAGTCTAAAGTAGACTGGACGAGTAGCTGATCCTGTTAACCCATTCTGTGTTGCAGCATCTTGCTCCCTTCAGTTTAACTCCTTCATATGCAAAGCCCTCTGAGAAGTAATCAAACCTAATCTTGTTTTCCTTGGCCTCTGTTAGACTGGGAGTTTCCAGGATGGGAGAAAGGTTCTGGTCTTTTTTCATTAAAGAGATGAAATCACCCCTCGCTCCCACCCTCCTGTAGACACACCTCCCCTGGCTGGCTGACTAGGGAAGCATCTCAGAGCTGACTTATCTGCTCCAACACCTCAGACCCGCTCTGTTGCTGACTGTCTAAGGGCCCCCAGCCTCTCTGGTATTGCCTCCCATTGTCTGTTTTTGCTTATGGGGTTCCTGGCTTACAGCTCGCCCCAGGATCACAGCAACCAGGAAAATAGTAGTTATCAAATTGAGGCAACATTAGTCCTCAGTCTCCTTAGCAAATTCCTTTAGCAAACATTGATTGAGGGCCTGTGATCTGTGAGGCACTGGGTAAATCCCTCCCTGCCCCTTCGAACCTGGAATTCTGTTCCTTGTTTGGGCCATAGTATCCCATATGCTGCTCAGGCTGGGAAGCTAGCCTACATACTTATAAAATCTCTATTTTGTTCTTTCCCCTTGCCAACATTCACAAAATCCTTTCAAAAATAATCTCTTTAGTGTTCGCTAATTCTTGTGCACTTTTCGCCACCCTAATCCCCTTTTCTATGAAAGTCTACACATGCCATTTCCCCAAGACCACTTCAAGTCTCTACTATTGGCTTCCTTGTTCTCTCTTCTCCAGGGAATTGGTTCTGTCCCTCAGCATGTGACCTTTGGCAAGTCCCCTTAGAGCCAGAATGTTCTGTTCCGGCATCAACTTGTTAGGTGACTGAAGTTGCTTTATAAATATTCCTGTGCCTCAGTGTCTCCTTTGCCTAAGAAGATGTCTAATTCCTATCTCTACTTGATAGTGCTGTGAGCGGGGCAGTTTTGGGCAAGGTGCATTCTGGGAGCCATCGGTATCTGAATCTCCCTGTCTCCATAGCAGTCTCAACAAATGGGGGTCTCTGAGAAAAATGGGGTTTTCACAAGCTCCTCAAGGTGATGTGAGATACAGTAAAACACAAAAGACCCTGGGGTGAAGGGACAGACTGCCTCTGAATTCTAGGCACCCCCATCTACCAGCCCAGATTCCAAAATCAATGAGAGGAATTTTTATTCTAAATCCTGTAACACAGGATTATCACTCTGGCAACAACAACACAGTTACTGGTCTCCACACCTAGGAAAGAGTCTTCATCCTTTTTCTCTAGATCCAGGGTTATTTATTTCTTTACTTGTGCTCAAAATAAGACCTTTGTTTTGGATGAATTTAACCTAAAGAAAAGAGTTTTTTAAACAAAAAAGGAATCACAACAAGCTCCTTTAGGACTAGCCTGGGTTCTTATTGGGCTTTTATTAAAGGAACACCAAGTGACTTAGTTTGACTTTCCCACCTCAATGGCAGCCATGCTGTCCTTTCCTCTGATCTCTAAAAGAAACATTTTGAGGCACCCTCTGTGGAACTTATACATTCAATTAACTTGAATTATCACAATAGCCAGAAATGGATTTTTACCTGGAAGCTGTATCTTGGAAACCCTAGACAGGGGCACTATGAGTCAGAATTGACTAAATGGCGCTTAACAACAACAACAATGAAGCTTAAGCTTCAGGTCTCCCATACTGCTATGTTGTTGTTTAGTGCCCTTGAGTAACTTCCGACTCATAGCGATCCTGTAGAGGGTTTCTGAGACTGTACATTGTTGCTGGAGCTGCATCTTTCTCCCTCAGAGCGGCTGGTGGGCTCAAACCACCTACCTTGTGGTTCACAATCTGTTTATCGTACAGAGCCACCATGCTCCCCCATAATGGTATAGTCTCTTTCTGAGCTGAATCACATATGTGTTTATATTTCTTTCTTTTTTTAAGTGTACACACACACACACACACAACTGTATAAGCTTCAGGCTCCACAAAACCTGGTTTGACCAATAAAATATCAGAAGCTACAAGCAAGATACTTTAGGAATGTTGACCATGACATTTGTCTTTTTTATTTATTTACTTATTTATTTTCATTTGAAAAGCTAATAGGAAGATTCCTGTGACCTAATTTACACACAATGAACCGCTCTCTGTTCTTTTACCCAACTCTGCTATATAAATCACCGTCAATTAGTTTTTCTGTTTTGATGAACCGTTGATTTATGTATCCAACAAGTCTTACATTTACAGAAGACCTCAAAAAAGAATTGTCTCTGGTGTTCAAAAGGGTCTTTCTTGCTCCCTCTTTTAAATTGATCTTTTTATTGTGAATTGATTGAAGGTTTACAGACTATATCAGTTTTTCATTCAATAAATCATATACTTTGCTTCATTGCAATGATTCCAATCCCCTCCATGTGCCCCCAGTGAACAGTATTCACCTCTCTTCACTTTAACTCTTGCATTCCTCCCTGTCTCCTGCTCTCCTCATCTTTCCTCTGCCGACCCCTGTCT